TCTGCCTCAAATGACCAAGGCGCAAACAAAGGAAGTGAGTAGCAAACGAAAACAGCTTGGAGAGTGCACATACACATTTGTACAATTCACATTGCGCAGAATTGTTGTCTCTGAGTGTTTGGGTATATCTACGAATGGCATGATTGGCAGATTGACAAGTGTACGAGTACATATATACGTAAAGGCAACATCGAGATGGATGAATCGCGTGGAATAGCCTGGAACTCTGTCCCATCACCATGTCCTCCCATTCTCAGCGTTGGTCATTCCGGGCCTCTGCTTCGAAGTAGTATAGCTCGGGAATGTCATGGAAGGTCACCTCGTCATGCTCTGAAGAGCTCACGCTGATTCCTACTAGCGATAACCTACTAGCCATAACATGACCTACTAGCGATTGCCTCCAGGCTAAGAGCGATGGCCTCCAACCGAATTAATAGCATCCCATGCTGCATCAACAACAATTGGTCACAATGGGGATGAAAAAAGTGGAAAGTTCGATGGTTTAGGATGCCTTTGTCCCTCTGTTCTGGCCTCTCCACTGTCCTGTGTCGTGCAAAACTAAAGGACGGTGATTTTGAAGATCGCAAAAAATGTTGCGACCGCTTTCATGTTATATTGTCTCCTTTGCCGTTGGCCTCAGATGTGATCATGTGCGGCAAGTTGCGTTTGAAGTGCACTTCTGGAGCCGGTTGTCATAAAGGCTGATCACCTACAAATCACGGTCAGTGCAAAGACGCCTCTACTGTGCAGACTATCTGCCCCACAAGAATGCAGCAGTCTTACAACGCAAAAGGGACAAGCCATGACCTTATAGAAAATTAAAGAGTGATTGCTTTGACACCTGGTTTGGATCACATCGGCTAAATTTGTTGATCATGACATCAGTGTGCAGCTTCGTTGAAAAGCCCTTTGAATTGGATGGCAATGGATTTCGGATTACCAACAGCCCCTTGACCGCCTTAAGTAGCAGACTGGATCTGTAGGGTAACACAATTGATCAGGTGTTTCCGCAAGAGCCATGTGGGCACTTTGCGGCAAGATTTTGCCCTTTGGCCTCAGGCTCATCCTCCCTTGCAAGCTTGGTGGGCTTGGCAGGCTTCAGAAGGGACGGGCAGCTTTCCTTGGTAGAAACACAGTGAGTGTCTTCTGCGTCCTTTCGATCCGCGAGCAACCCTTGACTGCAAAACTAGGTCGGCTGGGTGGTTGCTGAGGGCTCAAATCATGTAGGGCCATCCAATGAGGGTTCAAGCATTGATTCAATGATATTGGTAGATATGTTTCACTTTGTTTCACCAGCACGCGTTTCCTAAGAGTTGGCTTGCTGCTTCCCCTGGGGGACAATACTCTTGGGGTCAATTGAAGACTGCTGCGGTATCCCACTGGCGAGACAAAAAGCGACCCACAGATCGCTCGCATAACTACAGAGCAGGGCGACAAAGCCACTTGATCGCTCGCCAAGAAGCAGAACTGCGTAGAATCTTCTCGCAAGTGGCCGCTTTTGCAAGACGGCTGGGAGAGCGCGTTGGTGACCGCTCCTTTAGAAAGAGAAATGTTGTTCACAAATTGACAAATAATGATTCATCAATCGTCCTTTAGTTCTTGCTGTTGTCAGAATCCATGATGCAATTCTCGGCAAAGCCGGGTCTGAAAGTCCAGAGCAACGACAGGGACATAATGTTGTTATTTAAGGTCGATTCCTCTTGAGACAAATTCGGAAAAGAACATGAATGAGAAACCTTTCGCGCGCGCGCGCGCGCGAGCTTGCTCCTTCTTCCCTTCGAATTGCAAAGGTCGACGGCGCGGAGATTCGCGCCATCGTCGAGACTCGCACCTGTAGATTTCGGAGCACTGCTGAAGCCATGTCGATACCGCCAAGGTTGAACACTCTCTTGTCAACAAATGTATCATATGATGTAAAGGATTCAATTATATAACTTAAACAATATATTACTCAATTGATTCTTTCATTCTATATTAGTTATCGTGGAACTCAGGATAGGAAAGTAGTAAGTAGGCCATGGAGCACTGCTCACAGTTTACACATCAAGTTGTCGTAATTTGGCCCTCCATTTGGGCCGACAGCAAGCAGCAGAAATGGGTGCCTCCATCCACATGATTCGGCCAAAACCACCATTGCAAGAGGCCAAGTTCTTGTTGCCACGGTGCTGCAGACTCCAGGAACAGCCAAACACTTGAACAGGAAATCCTTCTATATAAAGAGTATTCATAAAGAGTATTCATGCAGCCTGTGAGGACATAAATCAACAGCCTGGAGCCAAACCGGGCTTGGTTGTCATGGCAGCGGATGTTTACTTCAACTCCAACTCCACAAAACTGTAGAAAAGATGGAGACTGCATACCAGTGCAGAACATTTCAGCACCATCCAGTCATCCGGTGCTCACTTGAGTCTTGCGTGGCACATCACGACAATGTCAAGCTCCTCTCGAAGCACCGACTCGATGAGATTTATGGAGCAAGTTGGGGAGAAGCCTCGCTAACACTGATGCTGACCCGAATTTGCAGCACAAGCCTATGTGATTTGAAGTCTTCTACATTCATAACCAACATAAGGCCACTGCAATGGTTGGCGCCAAGCTCGTATTTGGACAAGAGTCGACTGTTCAGCGTATCCTGCAAAAGAAAAGCCACCTTCGCTGGTTGATGACAATCGGAAAGACTGAAAGACTGCGGGATTCTTGAAGGGAAAAAATGCACGCAAATGCTCAAGATTTACACACACCTCTCCTGTGAAGCATTCGACATGGCCAAGACAATGCGTCCTTGCATTCAATTCAATCACAGAGGCTGATTGCAGACAAAACAAGTGAACGATTTAGACTGTGTTCTATACTATGCTAAACTAGTCGTGCTTCTGCAGTGAGAGCCGCGAGTACCTTGCCAAATCTTGTAGAGGTGATCTTGCCGTCAAGCTGCGGGTGCCCCATCCGCTGTCGACTCGCTGCTCAAAAACCTCGCCACACTGGCCATCCCTCGTTTTCAAACGGCACCTGCACTGCTGTGTTTCAACCAAGCGACATTGATCGAAGGCGCTTGTGGAAGACGGCTGATGCGAAAGCCCGAGGAGGTGTGAAAGAATCGGGCATGCGCTCGTGCTAGTAAAACGGCGATCCAAAGGCCCACTGGACCAGCCCCAATGACAGCCACACGCGTACCCTCCATTGGTTGCGTGACCTTTGGAGAAAGGTCTCGGCCCAGCGAAGATGCTCGGCTTGGCGTGTCTGCTTTGGTCGGAGATACAGATGTCCAAGTTTCCCAAGTTCCTTCATCCAATGTGCTTTGGCCAACTGTTCTAGTTCTAGAACTTCTAGGCTTCCTGAGGTCTGACAAGTGCGAAGCAGACCTGGAAAATGTTGCGTGCGCCTCCTGGGTCTGCTTCTTCGACCTGTGACAGACTCCATCAAGCTGGGAGCACGTGGAATTTGATGTTTGTCGGGAGCATCTCCTTTGATCCGATTCCTTCCAGGTCCAAAGGTTGCACTGCGTCGCCACAATGGCCAGTGGACTACCTGGCTCTGCTTGGCTCAAACTTGGGCAAGAGCCCGACCTTGCTACAGATCGAAAGCGTGGCAAACGGGCCATTCTCGACCTGCAAGGAACTTCGATTTGAAAGGTCAAATTTTGACAAAATGCATCATCACTTCGCTCAAGCTTGGTGCCCAGCCCTTAAAACAGGTCTGCACACAGTGTCCGACAGCTCATGTCTCGCCGACATGGCCAAGGCTATCCCACACTGGGGCTGCAAATCAGTTGCAAATCGGCCTTGTGAGTCGCCAAATGCCAAAAATGCTCCCACCCGATAGAAACGCTACAACCACCTTGGATCATTCTTGCTCTCCCCAAATCTGTGAATGTGACCCCTGCAGTCCCTGCAGGTCTGAATGACTATCAGGGGGCTGTCAAATCTCTCCACACTCGCTTGATGCATTGAATCATGACTCATGGGAGTCAAAATGAACAATGTTGTGTGGGGGGCGTTTCTTGTCATCTTAGCTTTCGTAACCCTCCCTGTCATGAATTCACTTCTGACTCAGCATTTGCAGTAAGAGGCAAAGGCTGAAGGAAGAATAGCCAGTTTGAAATCTGAAAAAAAGATTGGGTGCAACAATTCTGTCCATCTATCAAACAAAGCGGAGAAACTCTCGTTCAATCTTTCCCGCCTAGTCACATCATGTTCCTTGCTCTCGCCCTCAGCAATTGCCAACCATGCAATCAACCCTAAAAACCATTCTGCTGATCGGACATTCCCCTTGAGGCTGGGTCTGCGCTCAAGAAAGCTGTTTGGTCCGGCCTTGCTTTGGACAACTTGCTTGATTTTATATATATATATACATAATACTGTAAATATGTAGTGTGTATATATATATTATACACGTAATCTTCTTTGATCGGAGACAAAAGCATGATTGGCGACCAAGCTGCTCCAAAGATTCACCTTCGCCACCTTCGCCGCCTTAGAGCGAAAGTCTACGTTCGTACCAAGTAAGAAGCACGAGATGGCGCAGGGAACTGTTGGGCTCTTCCAATCTTCAAATTCCTATCCTCTGCTGAGGTTGAAAGATGAAAAAGAGTTGTTGAGGATTGAGGAATGTCATGAGAATGAGGCCAGGCAAACACTTCCGGAGCATATCGGGGTCTAAGAAACTCACCAGTCTGGTCTGGACCCGCATCCTGAAACGCACAGAACAAGATTCCTCAATGCTTGCGAGTTCGAGTCGAAAATCCGTCTCAACCAAGTCGTCCCAAGAAAGGTAGTTGGAGGTGTGCATAGCCAAGCTGAGTCGAGGCTTGAGACTAAAGAAGAGAACTCAGCTGGGAGACCAAAGAGAACTCTTCCTTTTGAATCTACAGTCATCCAGTCACTCCAAGGAGACATAAGGAGACCGGGACCCCACTTCATTGCAATGTGCAATGCAGCAGCTATAAAGATGGACGCTTCTTTGGCAGGACAAACAACAGATTCTCAGTGGACATATTCTATCTGTCAACTCGCAGCCAAAGCAGCTCTACTCCCTCAGACTTGGCCACAAATGCGCAACCCCGGCATTGCACCTTGCGTATGATACAGGCATGTCAAAAGGTGTGTAGAAACTTGAGCAAGCAGCAAGCCCATGAACCAGTCTGGATGTCTCGATATTTCAACTTGCGTCAACCACCACAACCCTTGCTGGGGAACAGCTATGCTCTTCAACTGCTACTGCTACTTCAATTTCCATCAACTGCTACTCCACCTTCGAGTGCACATTGTTGCTCGGGCGCCGACCAAATCTTCCCCTAAGCCTTTGCCTAGCGTACGGCGTACATATCGTACTAGTATGGAATGCTATGGAATGCAATGTCAGGTGGCAGAATATTGCAATTTCATGCAAGCCTTCTTACCCCGTGCTTTTCCTGCTGGCTTCTTTGCCATCTTCCCTTTGACCTTAGTGGAACATGAAGACACACAAAGGCTGGTTGAGCCACAACTGACAGAGATGGAGCAAGTTTGATTCAAGAGCTCAAACTGCTCAAACAATCACGTGTGTGGGGGGGGTTTGGGTCTATGGCCTCTCTACCCTGGGTCGGACTGTTTGATGTCACGTCTCTAGTTGGAGATGTGCTCACAGTGGCCCACATGTTTGATCTCCACTCAATCCAAGCCAGCCTTGATCAAGGCGGACTTCTCCTCCTCATCCTCTGATTCCTCGACATCATTCATGACCACCTGGGTCATTGACACTTGGCCACCACGGTAGTGGCCGTGTGAACCAGTGGGGCAGCAGCTTTGATGCTTGCAATGAACACAGTGTGGACTTTTCACCATAGCTATCAGCAAGAAGCTCCAAGTGCCTCTGCGTCTTCACCATCCGCATCAAAGCCAGGTTCCTCTACCAGCCGCCTTCCTAAGGCATCGAAGCTGAAGGCACAGTTTCCGTTGACGCGAACATTGAGGGCGTTGCTCTTGGATGGAAGCACGACCTGTCAAGAGACATTCGGCTAAAGACTCTCGGCCACAAAGCTCCCTTTTCACAAGCGCTGAAAAGGGGTCTACGAGGGGGCACATTCTTCATGTGGGTGCCCGAGCCATGTGAGACGAGATCAGCTTCCCAAAAGGAAAGCTGATCATGATTGAGCGGGATCCCTCAGTTGTCAAAGTCCTACCTCATCTGGCACTTTTTGTTGACTCAGCGATCCTGCCACATAAATCCCCAAGAAACTATAAAAACCGATTAAAGGCATCAGCTTCAAGATGCGTGGCCTAGAGGCCTCAATGATCCTGGCTTCCAGCGAAATACTGAGTGCATAGGACACACACGTCTCTACGACAATTCGCCAAAACAATCCTGAACAACAATCACCACCGACACCTATCTGAACTCGGAATGCACCAGGATCTATGTTTGGTTCAACCTGATTCCCAAGCCTGAGTGACAAAGGCTCAGCTTTAGGGAATCTGGTGATTCATCTGCACCAAGCAGGTTTGACTCTGGAAGCTTGAGTGCCAACTAGGGGTTGTTTGTTTCATTCAAGGGAAAGCAACCGCTTAAGCTGTTATTTCACTTGAAGTTTGGCCAATCCTGCAACACATGAAATACAATGAATTGATTCAGCCGCACTGTGGCGTCTGTGTGTGTCTGGAGGTTTAAGGCTCTTGTCTCTCAAGATGTTGCGTAGAGCCGTAGAGCTGGCTAGCGTGCTTTGGCCTGGTGCAAGCGTCGAAGAACAAGAAATCTCCGGAGTTGACAAAGTTCAGTCCTCGCCTGATTTTTGACCCCGCTGATTTTTGCTTGGACCCACTCTGGATCTCCAAGGTATGCTCCACCTGAAGTGGGAAGGTCTTTACTATCATTTAATATCTCAACGGGCCGCACTCACCCGACGTCTTTTGGGAAGACCTAGCAGTTGCTTGAGCATGAGGAGACTTACTCTGCTTGAGTTTAAGCTGCCAAGGCAAGGACTTATGAGCTCTGCGTGGCCAGGAAGCTCCACCTAATTGCTGCGACTTACTCATGTAGGATGCACATCGTATCATCCTTTTTGTTGTGAAAAATCCTGAAGTTCACATTGAGACTTGAGAATCCAGCTGGCTTGAGATTGCGATTTAGTCTGTACACCAAAGGTACCTGGAGGTTATTGAAGCACAGGGAACAGAACAGCTCCTTCGCACAATGTGCGAAAGTCCAGAACTCATGCGGAGCACCCCTGTGGGAATATTGAGGCCCACGATCTTGTCCTAACAAGCACTGCACCTTATTTGATATGCAAACGTCCAAGAACAAAACATTAAAAAATTAGACATAAGGAAACACAATCAGAATGTAAATCAACTCCAGCTGTAAGTCGGCCCTCCTCCGGTACGTTATCCAGGATCTTGACCAGGGCACGCAAGGAGTTCCCATGTGCTGCAATTAGCACCTGCCGGACTCCAAGAACACTCCCTGCCAAGTAACTTCCCCACCCCAACGGACATCGACACCCAATCATCCTTTTCTTTTTCTACGGGGGGGGGTAGGCCGCTAGTAGCTAGGCAGCTAGTAGCTTACTTAAGCTACTAGTATGGACGCAGGATAGCTCGCGCTTCTTCAAGGAAGCTACCCAAGCTTCCTTGAAGAAGCGTTCGCACTTATATAATGATTTGGTTCCTAGATTTTTAGGAAAACTTAACCTCAACGACTGGCACAATGTGAATGATGTCAAGAATGCATCAGTTCCCAGCAAAGCCCAGCTGAAGAGGGCCAAGTGCACGTAAAAGTTGAAACATGAAGGAGTTGCAAGAAAATAGCTCTTGACTCGACTCGATGAAGAGAATAGCAGCTCTGAATAGCAATAATGAATGATGTGAAGCTTGCAAACGTCTTTCAAAAGCCATCTCTGCTCTGAGATAAGCCCACCTTCTTGCCCTTGCGCAGCTGCGGCGCGATGGTCTGCCTCCATCCATCGTCGGATTTCCAGGTCAAGGACTCTGGCAGTGCCCAGTAGAGCAGAAGCAAACTGAAAAAAATGGGGTTGGTTGGCCTCGGGTTGGAGGTTAGAGAGTCGAGACCAAAACCAGCAAGGATCCGTTAAGTGCTTTGCAGCTGACTGTACTTTGCAGAATGATTTGTGCCGTTCCAGTAAGGTGGGTGGTTGATAAGAACAAAACAGAAGCCATAACTGAATTGGTTGACTATTGGAATGGTCACAAAAGCTCTGGAATATGTAGCATGTTGCTCAATTTTGATGTGCAACGGCTATTCGCCTCGGCCTCCATTCGTTCGCATTTGCATTCGGTCGAGCCTGAAGAAGGGAAGAACGCGGTCGATGGTCGTGGCCAAAGACCTGGCAGTTTAGGATCATCGAGTCCAAAAGCATCACTGATGGATGTCCTTGGGACCTCTCTCAAAGTTGTTGAATGCATTTCGGATGTCAAAACCAGTTCGAGGGTTCGCCTTTCTACATGTGCTATCTTCTCTTCCATACCATGGTGGGGTCCCCTCCTGGACTACTTTGTTCAATTTAAGGTGACCTTCTAATCAATCCAAACACTTGCAAATAGCAAGCTTAATTTTGAATGCAAAATAGTCAGGACGAGGCTTGAATCAGGTAGAGTTTTAAGTTATTTAATGCATCGTGAGGCCTTGAGGTCCAGAAAATAGATTATCAGCATACATTGAGTTCCTTTCAGAAAACCTATTTATTTGGGCATCTTTAAGTTAGGAATAAAGTATAACTCAAATGTCAACCACCCTACAATCTTTTCGTGCAGCTTCTGTTGACCAGACGATTGTGCACCAGATCAAACGAACCCGAAGGCCAAAAGGCTTGATTTAGAAGACACATTAAGCTGATGGAAAAACTGGTAAGAATCTCCAGCCCTGGAGAAATTGGGTGGAGGAAATACCCGGCCACCCTTTAAAACTTTTGTGCAACTTGCGTTTGCATTCCCACCCTAAATGGTCTGACCATATCCGATATGCAAAATCAACCATGCCAAAGAAGCTAAGAAAAATCACCTCAATTGGTCCTTTCCAAAAAGAACGAGTCCCTACAAAAGGACCGAATGGCATTTGATGGAGGTCAAATGATTTCCATTTTGTAGCGAATCACCCACACAGAATGTCAATTGATTGCTTTTTGACCCCTTTCTCAACCCATACTCTATTGCCGCCACAAAGTACTGCTGCACAAATTCATCGACCTGTCCTCCAGTTGAAGAATTCATAAACCTAAGCGGAAAAACATGAAAAAAACATGTTAGTTGTCATATTAATTCAATTCAGTCAATTTCTGGCTGGGTCATAGGGGAATCAAAGGCAGGGAAGATCATTTACTAGACTACAACCGTTGATAGCAAATCCCCTAAGTCTAACGTCAATGTGCAAATCGTCATGAAAGAATTAATTCTCCTAAGTTGTGCTCTCCAAGTCGAGTAGTAGGGATTAACTGTAGACATTGTCTTTCTTTCGAGGTGCAGCAGCACTGGCAGTGTACACGCTGCCAAAAGGTGCTAACATTGTTTTCATACTAATTTCATAGGTCTGTGTGCCACACACCCCGTCCTGACATCCTCTACTTGGTGATTCTACGCAGTGGTCATCCACTTAGCTCGGCTTAGGGATAAGACATGCCAGGTGAACTCCGACAGCGGCAGCTGTTTCTTCGGGATGTTTTTGTACTTCGGATCCTGGGCGCCGTGAAAACATTGATCAGAAAAGAGAAGGGAAGGGCTTTCCCTGCGAAGGGTGTTCCTTCTCTTTTCATCTGTTTATCTAGGCTTCAGAACGGATACAGTGAGCACTGAGAGCATGGCCAACTTTGGGTGGTAAGGATTGTCGTCCTGATATTAACGGAGCTGTTGATTTTGTGGTGCGGCGTGTCAAACCATGCAACTTAAGAGATTGGTTGGGGAGACTCTTTGACGTCCGATTGATGTCTTCGCAAGATCTTTGTGCTGATCTCTCGATGAGCCTTGATGGGAGGTGGTGGAACTGCGTACGATCGCCGCCATTTCGTCACCTGACAGCTATAACGTGTGTTCTTTCTGGCCATGGGCACGGCCTGGAACAGTTCCTTGAAAAATGCGGATCAGGGGGCCCTCTGTTCCAAATGGCAATCATATCCTAGTGCCCAAAAGCATTCAAATCATCCCCGATTCCTTTTTTGCGCATGAGTTTCTTGATCAGGTCTCATTGCTTGATAAGGCTTTGAACATGAAAGCTTCAACTACCAGTACATGCTAGTCAGAACACCCAAGTAATCAAAATAACAGGCCGGCAGGCTCAGCTATAGCCAAAACTCAACATCCCGTGATTGCTTAACTCCTGACCTTTCTAGTCTTGCTGTTTCTTCTGCCTTCTCGTTGTTATTCCTTCTCCTTCCTTCTTCTTCCTTCTCCTTCCTTCTCCTTCCTTCTCCTTCCTTCTCCTTCCTT